TTAGGTTTCGGTCTCGTTACTTTTTCAACATTCAGAGGACGGCCATCTTGGAGGTTTTAGTCGGTAAGAATCCGACACTACTTGGGTCTTCTCTTAAAAGACTCATGTGTTTCATGAAGATTTCCTCCACGTAAAAAAAAGGTTTAGGTTAGGTTTAACTGTCAAAACTGTTAAAAATTTTTGGTTAGATTTAGGTTAGATTTCGGTCCCGGAGCTTTTTCAACATTCGGAGGACGGCCATCTTGGAGGTTTTAGTCGGTAAGAATCCGACACTATTTGGGTCTTCTCTTAAAAGACTCAGGTGTTTCATGAAGATTTCCTCCACGTAAAAAAAAAAAGGTTTAGGTTGAGTTAATAATTCGATAAAAACTGTATTATTGTCAGCTGTAAATAAATGTTTCTTGAATCCAGTATGATCACAAGGATCGGTCGACATCGACAGATCGGAGTTCTTCTCACAGTGTGTTCGAGAATTGAGTCAGAAACGGCTTGAATGTGCCATTGCAACCCAACGAAAAAAGTCAGCCTCGAGCGGTCGAACTTTTTCATTTGCAATTACGAGCGCGATTCTTGGTCAATCGGCGCAAACATTGTCGATGATTCGCGCGCACGCGAGAGAGAGAGAGTCCAGCGTAGAACATTGTCGAAACTCGAGCTCGAAGGAGGACCTGTTCGGAAACCACTCTAATTTTCTGCGATCACCGGACCCCTTCCTCTCCCTCCTCTGCACGTCTGTTGCAGCGAAACGGGCGACCGCAAGATATGAAACGTCGAGATGCCCATAATGGAGCCCGACGAAATTGGGAGGTAAACGACGCGCAACGTACGCCACGGATTCGATCGCGCCGCCGCCATTTTCAAATTGAAATCAGTCTCACGAACTCACCGTCGGCTGTTTGCCATTATTTTGTTCTTTCTCTTTCGCTTTTTTTTTTTTCTTCTTCTTACCGATCGCAGAAAATCGCGCTCGAATGCCGAGGCTCTCGCGCGGAACGCTCTCTCTCTCTCTCTCTCTCTCTCTGTCGCCACTTCCGCGTTGCAGAATAACGTTTGTTCTGGACAACCTGATTGTGAATTCTACTCCGATCGCTGTGTTGCTTTCTCGCATCTCCACCACATCGAAACGTTCGCAAGGATAGATGTACACATAGAATGAGCTAAATTTCTAGTTTAACTGCTTTTCTCGATTTTGACTATTTCGCTAAAACTGGGGGAGGAGATCGAAGAAATTATACAGTTTCTTGTTACTTCGAAAAGAAAGGAGAAAAGCGAGAAACGTATTAAAAGAATTATAAATCTACGAAATAAATAAAAGTAGGAACTAAATTAGAAATTTGCCATAGAATGTTCCATCTATTGGCGACAATACGAAGCTCGTTTTTTTGTCACTGAAACAAGAAATCAATCCAAGGAAGATCGAACAGGTTATATAGCTTTTGTTGAACTTAAAAAGAAAATTAGTAAAACAGGTTTGTAATCTAACGTGATATAAATTGAAAATATAATACAAATTGGGAAACGCCGTTAAACTAGAAATGTCCCACCTGTTAGCGATTTCGTGATTGTTTGAAAGCAGATAGCTCGTCGCTACTCAGTTTTCCATGGTTTGCAATCGAAACCGGACCCAGGCAATGCCAACGAATTACTTAATTTAGGAAAACGACTGCTTACTCGCTTCGTCTCCGTAGGGAATATTACAGTAAAAAGAGGATCTGAAGTGGGGAAGGTGACAAAGTCCTTAAGAACACTGTGTTTGGCCGCTCAACACTTACCTCAGGATCTGAAAGGTCGCGAGTTTCTCAGGAGTCTGCTCAAATGTCTCCGTTGTTTTTGGAGATAGAAAAATACCTTATCAACGAAAGTGTTATTCGATAGAGAAAGTGACCGTGATATTTCAGTAGTGATTTTTTTTCGCAGGTGAAGGGATTTAAGAAATTTGAAGATCACCTCCAATTTTTTTTTTTTTTTAAATGAAATTTAATTAATCGATACAATATTCTCCATAAAGAAAAACGTATGAAAAATGCCGAAGAATGATTAATTTTAATTTTATCGTATGAGTGACGAGGAAAGAAAGGAGGTTCCTTGTGTTTGTAGAATTCTTTTGTGCAGCTGAGCTGAATCGATTAACGAATGAAAAAAACACATCGTTTAAAAAAATGGTCCCTCGATGTTCGTCAATATAAAATTTCTCCAAAACATCTCCGGAAACAACGAAGGCATTTAACATAAACTCGGATAGGACAGCCCGCAGAGTAAGTTGCAGAAATATTACCAAAATTTGTCGGAGAGCAAGTCTTGCAGAAATAGCTTTTCCCGTTTCTCGAATTTCAATGGACCTTCTCTAAATTCACGTCGGAGAGATCGTGGACAGGGATAGGCGATCGGTCGAAGGAACATCAAGTTAAGCAGTGTGAGCGACGATCGGCAATCGACCAAGTGGAAAAGCCAAGGAACAGGCCGGCTCTTGGTTCGGTCGACCGATCGGGAAACGGGGATCTGTGCTCGGTTGTAAGCGCGTGTTTTCGCAAATCCCGGCATTGTGATCCGGTTAAAAAACGGACCGAGGCAACGGCACGCCGGTGTTCCCCGATCACGGTTTTGGTGACACAATGCACCAGGGGAATCGGTCGAGCCTGTTTACATAACTCGGCATCTGTCACAACTGTTTATGCCGGCCGGAGCTAGATTCGTTTCTAAGGCGGCCTTAAGCTCTCGTCCGGCCTTTGTAACGCGACAATCGCACAATGTGACCCGCGCTCTAGTCACGCTCGAGTGGCTCGGATCGGCAAACACGTATCCTCGTTTGTTCCTCCGCGAGATCGTCGAGAGGAACGCTCCCCCAGCTTTTCGTGACCGCCAGCACTCGTTTCCGTGAACGCCAACCGTGAGGATGAAACTGCTATGTATATCTTGTCAACGGCTACTCGAAAGAGAGAGAGAGAGAGAG